CGTCATTAATTTTATCCTTAATTAAGGGATGTATAGAGCGAAATCTCTAACACATGAATCTAAACTGTAACAAAATATTTTTCATTCACTGCTATAACGTTCCTCAAAGTCAAACACCTGGGAAAGCAGATGCACATCTTTTAGCTTTGGGATGCATGGGCCAGTCCGAGACTACACATGTTACATCAGTATTAAACAACAATTTTAACTTTCCAACGTCCTCCGAGACAATCACACAAGGGTATTGGACTGTTCACAGACAATGTGCTAATCAGAGTGTACTTCTGGACGTTTAAAGGAGAGAATCTTTGTAATGTTTGTTGTTTGGACATTGTATACCAAACAAATGTCTTCCAGAGACATAAGATAAACTTCAATGTCATCGATTTTATCCTTTAGGGATAAGGTTGATCCTGCCAGCAGGGTTTCTAGTTGCTCAGTGAAAGCCTGGATCCACATCTCTTTGCTGTTGTCACCTTCTGATTCAGTGATAGAAATTTTTGCTGAAGCCTGCAGTTTGATATCTCTTGATCTTTGACGTGTACCACAGTTTTCACACTTCAGTGTGGTGCAAGTGAATGATTCAACATCATTTAAGCGTTTTTTGCACACTTTGCAGGAACAAAAGATGTTTAGCTTTGACACCAAATTGAATTCTGAAGCAGTTACTTCCTTTTCTGGACTTTTGAGCATATCTGGTCCAGTCAGGGTTTGCACTGTTTGTGTTGTAAGGTTTGCTGTTGTGTTTGGCGATGTACTTAGATACGTCGACCCTTGGAAATTCTTTACTGTCAGGTTGGTGAAGCAGTATGATTTACCCGTTGTCAAGGTATGGACAAGGGGTTCCCAAATGTGAATCATTGATGACCCAGTGTTGTCCTCCAACACGCAATCTTCCTTCACATGGGCTGTTGCTCCAGTGGATCTGAGAACAACAGCCTTGAGGTCTTCTTTTCCCATAGTGAGGGAACCACTGACATTGACTTTTTGGTTTGGGTGCAAACCTTTTACATTCGACACAGTAACTGACTTTGCAGCACTTGCACTTTCAAGCTTTGGCTGCTCGGTGTAACAAAATGATACATCTGACAAGCCTGCTTTATGTATGGCAGATTGTTGATTGAAAATACATTCATTGTCGTCTTTTACAATAATGTTCTTGAGCTGTACTGGGCTCTTGGTTTCCTCAAAATGTTTTAAGGAATCATGGACATAGAGATTAAATCCTACCAAACGTTTCACTTTAGTGGGTGAAGTTTGAAGCTGAAATTCATACCACTGATGCTTTGACTTAAGGGACTTCTTAATTGGACTGAGGTTGTGAATAAACCCATGGTCGTTTGCTGCAAGTAAACAATTAAGATGGTTAGAATATGCATAAGAGAATTATGTTTGATTGGCATGGTAATGTCAAATAATTTGGGGGGTTGGATATTTCAAGAAAATGACACATTGCAGGTAAAGCTTGAAATATAAAGGAGTCAGCATGTACTCATTATTATGAGTGAACAACAATAACCAAGAACAAAATTGCCTCTACCTTTCACAGATACAGTAGTCAGGTGCTAGGGGCTGAGTTGCTGCAAAATAACAGGGACACCAGTTGTCCCTGTTTAGTCTTAGACTACTTAAAGGGGCATGAATTCTGTATTTATAAGATAAAATAATTATATTCAGTACTTACAATAAGTCCTTTTGCTTGCCATCGTCTGCAACAAAAAATGTTTTACAAATTAAAAATACATCACACATAGATACATATTTTATTGACTTTCCTCCAGAGGCTTTTCAAAGACAATAATTAAATCAAGTCAAACAAAGAAAAACAGGGGAACACAATAATTGGTATTTGGATGTCTTGTTTAGCTTTTGGAGAACATGCTTACTGTATTAAGTCAAAGTTACTCATGATGACCATTTTTAGAAGCATTTAGAGATAAAGAATCAAGTCTCTTTTCTTCAATTAACCTATATTTCAAAAAATTTGATTTTTTGTAAGCTTGCAACCTTTCAAATGTCATTGGCTCAATTATGAGATCTTGGAGTCTTTTTACTCTACTAAGAGCCACATATGTCATACCAGGTGAATTCTCTGAAGGGCCGAGATCTATCCATGTTTTTTTAAGAGTCAGACCTTGGCTTTTGTGAATAGTCATAGCCCATGCTAGCTTTAAAGGAAGTTGTTGTCTTTCACATGTGTGACCTATGTTTTGTGAAATTTGGGTTATTGGACAAATTGGAACGCATCTTGGAACACTTGCAGTTAAAGAAGGTCCATTATATTGTTCATCAAACTGTACAAGAACACAAATAGGCAGGGCTGGAGGAGTTTGCCCATCAGCATATACAAAATCTAATACAGTTCCTAGTGCACCATTACAAAGACCAACTTCTGTCCACATGTTCATAGTGAGCATAACTCTAGCACCTTTAGCTAAATATATGACAGGTTCTAATCCTCCCATTTCATCAGAGCTAAGTGTTTGAGCACCACCAGAAT